ATCACGATCCGACTCTCCTTTCGAAAGTTATCGGATAAACGGACGGACGGACGGACGGACACACTGACCGATTTTAGTAGTGTACTCACTTTTTGAGTACACAACAAGAAGGCTAACTCACCTATTGCAAAGATAAATAAACGGAAATCGGTTCTGTTCTGGTCCACGCTCTAACTGATCCACAATTAGAGCACTATCTTCCGATAAGAGGTGCTGCTTGAAGGTTTTCTGGGGTGGAGAACTCGAATCTGTACTCCACTTGTTTCGAAGTCCTATTGGTTGAGCACTGACCAATAGAAATCAAGTTATAGAAAGAACGACTTTCTAAGGGTAAATTAAAGCGAAGAATTCAAATCTGAGCTGTATTCGCTCACAAATCCTATTGGTTGAGCAGTAGTCAATAGAATTCAATTGTTTATAGAATAGGTTTACCAAGCTAATTTGTATATCCACGCATTCTAGGATGACTGATTTGTCTCGTTCACTTTTTGAAGTACACATAACTCTCGGACTTAAGTCCGAGGTTTCCACATTTATTCGCTACTATTCATGGTTCCGATGATCAAACGCAACCGAACGAAAAATATTGGGTGCAAAAAGAACCTATGATTCTGCAAACAAGTTTCGGCGCTTTTTTTACAGTCGCAATACACAGCTATTGTTTACAAGCGTTGAACATATTTATATGTTAAAATATGTCTAAGAAGTTATTTGTATACATATTGGTGCACAAGGTTTAGATATGGATATGGATATGTTGAGCAACCATAATGTTAAATTTCTCTCGTGCTGCCAGTATCATTAGATGGCGTTCAGTTTGATTGAAAAAGAATGAAGTATGTTTCATGGGGAACCAGTTTTCCTATTCTGTTACGTGTCCTTTGCGTTTTCAGCCATAAATATCAATCGCATTTGCGTGTAGTTTCAAATTATCTTTCTCTAATTTTCTATTTCTTTTGATTAGAAGTGTCATTTTAACTTCACTTTAAAGTTAAAGTAAAGTAACATACTTCTAACCTTAACTTCAAACGAGTCAGAATTGAAATAATATTTTTAACTTTTGATTATCAGTCCTTTGTAGCCGCCTGCTACGAAGAATATTGCACAAGCTGTCCTTTCGTGTACTAGATAAATGTTATACGATAGTTATACGGTGATTTCTGATCGGACGATCATAAAATATTATATCGCTCATCTTGTAGGCAAAAACAGGTGTGTCAAATTACGGACTTGACTTACAAAAAAGCTGACCCTCATTTTATGAGCTTGAGAATCAACATTGGATGCTGAACATTTTTTACAAGTTTATTTTTGATTTCATTAAAAATCAAATTTTCACAGCTGGGATCACCCTCGGGTACTGAACAAGCTTTTTATTGTCACTCTGTTACAGCTCTTTATGGTTCCATAGTGCTAAGTGTGCTGGTTATAAATATCATAAATTTTTTTTTTTTTTTTTTTTTTTTTTTTTTCAAAAGTGCTAAGATAATATGAAAGAGCTGAAGCACTCCCTGAAAGCCTTAAGTAGACCCCCCCCCCTTTCCGGTACTTTTTAAGAAAGGCTCTTCAGAAAAATTTGAAAGTTTCAGGGCAGATAGATCTTGATGAGTAGAACAAAAGTTGCCATAGACTCAGAATTCCCCAATGCTTTCTTTATGGAGATATTGGGGTTACAAGGGCCAAAAAAGGGGTCCGAAATCGCCCCCGTTTCTCTGAGATGGTGTGTTTGTTTGAGCTGAAACTCTTTTTACAGATACTTGAAACATTTTATGGGGACTACTTTTTTTTTATTTCCTTCTATCTCATTCCTTTCAAATAAAAAGGCCCAAATACTAAGAACACCCCTAAAAATGCATGTTTTTTTTTAAACAGAGCTTTGTTTTTTTTAAATCTGTCAAAAATCAACGGTGCAGTATTTTTCAAAACAAAAAAAAGTAGCCCTCGAAAACACCATGTAGTACTTGTAGAAAAAATTTCAGCTCGATTGGATGCATCATCTCTGAGAAACGGGGGCGATTCTATACTTTTTCAGTGGAAAAACTGGTTTTGAGAAAAACGCAAAACAAAGTTGAAACTCTGAATATCTTTCAAATAATTCTCTTATTTGCGTTCGTATTCAAAGTATTCATAGATGATCGACTACGCTGCATCTCATGAAACTTTTCTCACGTTTCTAGAGTGATGCTGTTAAATACTAAGATACTATACATAGCCGATCAAAGCAATATCTTGTAGGATGCTTGTCTCTTACTTTTATTTTTATTTTTATGTAATGTCGTTCGTAGTCTGAAAAAAGTAGAAATCATGAACGAAACTACTATCAACCATGTGAGCAAGTAATGAATAAATAGTGATACAGCTATAATTGTCTCAGATTTTACTTTTTGGTTTACAAATCATTGATGTGAAAGTCTTATAGATAAATTTTGTGACTAAGACAATAATCACTCTTTTTTCCAATAATTACTCAACATCTGTTTGATTTCTTTATCAATCTGGTAATTTATTTAAAACGTAGATTTTGATGAACTAAAGGTATGAAATCCGATAGATGAATTCATAAAAGTTGCAGAAGAGAAATATCTGAAAAAAATTTAAAAAATCACATTTTATCATATAGGGGTGTTACAAAAATCGACTTTTCTGGGTCTAAACAACGACATAGAAAATTTATTTTTTATAGAATGATAGAGGACAACTAAAGTTATCTATAGCGATGAAAAACCAAAATTCGAAAAAATTTTGATTTTCATGCATGGAAAGGGGGCCCCTTAAAACTCCGTTTTTGATCTAAAAGTTCATTAAAATCCGATTTAGATACACCAAAAATAGGTTCATTTGTTTCGGAATTTTTTCCCATGAGAGTCTATATGAACTTCTTAAATATTCAAATCTTTTTCTATTGATAAATGCGAAATATTGTCGGAAGGGGCTAATTTTGTTACTAATAATCGCATATTCAGTCATGTGAAGTTATAGTTTCTACGCGTAAACGAGCGAGATTTTATTATCGAATATGCAATTCAATGTGCCCTTTCTGATAAAATGATTTTCAACTTGAAATACAATGTCTAGTGAAACACTTTCGCCCTAACCACTACACTTCAAAGTCAATATGTATTGTTGTTACTAATATTCGATGGTTTTCGAGCACATGAAATCAACATAAAGAGCTGCATCGATCTATAACCGTTTTGGCAACAAGAACGGTTCTGAACACGTAAAATGCCATTTGAAGACAAAAGTAGAAGATGCTAGATACTTAAATAGTGTTTTTAGTGAAGTTTATTTTTTCAGGTAACCTCTCAGTGGGTTTAGAGATGAAAACCTGACAATAAAAAAGTCGTGAAAACAACTTTTAGCGGTCATAAATCGATGTAGCTATTTGTACTGATTTGAAGTGCTCGAAAATCATCGAATATTAGTAAAAAAAACATACTGACCTTCAAGTGCAGTGGTTAGGGCGAAAGTATTTCACTAGACATTGTATTTTAAGTTGAAAATGATTTATCAGAAAGGGCACATTGAATTGCATATTCGATAATAAAATCTCACCGGTTTACGCGTAGAAACTATAACTTCACATGACTGAACATACAATTATTAGTAACAAAATTAGCCTCTTTCGACAGTATTTCGTATTTATCAATAGAAAAAGATTTGAATATTTAAGAAATTCATATAGACTCTCATGGGAAAAAAATTCCGAATCAAATGAACCTATTTTCGGTGTATCTAAATCGGATTCCAATGAACTTTTAGATCAAAAACGGAGTTTTAAGACTTTCAGACAGCGCTTCAGCTCTTTCATATTATCTGAACGCTTTTGGAAAAATGTATGATATTTATAATCAGCACACTTAGCACTATCGAACCATAAAGAGCTGTAACAGAGTGATAATAAAAAACTTGTTCGGTACCCGAGAGTGATCCCAGCTGTGAAAATTTGATTTTTAATAAAATCGAAAATAAACTTGTAAAAAATGTTCAGCATCCAATGTTGATTCTCAAGCTAATAAAATTAAGATAAGATTTTTTTGGGATGCCAACCCTGTGATTTAGCACAATTTATTTATAAAAAATCGCCATCTTTTTCGGTAAATAGTCTTTCTTGTTAGGAATCGAGAGTCAGTGGTGCTCTATTAAAGACACCGTATTACTATTTATAGTAGTTTGATCTTCATGACGTTAGAAATGTACTTCAAGATATTTGATGGTAGTTTAAGAGACTTCAAAATTCAAAAAGTATCATGTTTTTTCCATCATTGCTTCTATGAATGATTTATATAGGTTGTTGAGATATTTTGACGAATGATTAACATCATTGCTATATATAAAATATAAATGTTGAAGTTTTTAAAGTACGAGTACCATCCTTATTTTGGGAAAGAATATTACCTCAATAATAAATAGTGTTTATTTCAGTGATCTGTCGAGCGAACCGTAGCGTTTTGTCTTCATCACTTAAGAGCCTCATCAGCTGGTTTTTGACTTACGAGGGAACCTTGCTACATGCCATCCGCCGATTTCAATGAAACTTTGCCTACACATACTACATAGTGCCCTAGTAAACGTCCTAAAAGGGCTCGGATTTTTGTTGCTTCCTTCAGTCTTTATGAATATTTTATTCCAACCCTATATACTCTAATAGGAGTACTATATTGGAAAACTCAGTCTTGAGAATTATGTAATATAAATTAGAATTTATCTTGTCTAATATTATTTCATATCTATTCATTCATAGAATACTTCAATAATTTTAATTTTTTATTTATAACATACAAAAAAAAAACGTTTTTTTCAAGGGAGAGAACAGTCTATGTAGTGAATATGAACATGTGTTTGTTTTATCGCTTCTCGAAGTTGTGTAAAATTGTTGCTTTGTATGATAAATTAAATGATTCTCCGCTTGTTGATCTCGCGTGTTGTTATGAAAAGAAAGATAGTACATTCACTATTTTACCCTACGCTTCAATTAAGTTTCATTCTGGAAGTAAATAATGATAAATCCACAAAATGTCATGGATATTTTGGGAAATCTAATTTCTGCACGTTTAACAATATCTTCAACATCTACCAATGGACCGAAAAATGAGGAAGTGGCAGTTATACTATTTAAGAATGTACAATCTATATTGAATTGTACATCATATTCATTTGAAGATGAGGATACACTTGATCTTGATTTTAATATTGAATTAGCTGACGATGATCCTCCCTTTGATAATAATGAAGATGATGACGAAAATATTGGTGATGATGATAAGATTGATGATGATTGTAATAGGAACGACAATTCACGTGATGCTGATTACAATGATGAACGTAAAAACGAAAACATAGCTCGGCATCAATTCTCATTGGAATACATGAAAAATGTGGTGCAGTTTTACGATGAAAAAGATCCAAAGGCCAGAAAGCGGAAGCATAGTTTTGCAGGCGTTCAACGTCGCTTTAAGAAAGTAAAGGATAAAAGTTACATTAATCGATTTCGCAAGTATATTGAAACGCAATGCACCAAAAGACAAAAAACTGAATCAAATCGATTCTTTTGTTTATAAATCATTTCAAAATTCAAGACAACAACTACTATCTGTCCATGATATCGATCTTAAACGATGGAGATTAAAGAAGGCTGCAGAATTAGGTGATATGAGTTTTGTAGCTGGCGATCGTTGGCTATATGAATTTAAAAAACGGCATCATGTAGTTTCAAGAAAGATTAGCAAACTGGTTACTAAACGAGACATTTTGAATAAAAATATCATTAATCAATCAGCTGAAGATTTTGTTCTTGATGTAAATAAGGTTATTCCGAATTATCATCCAGATTATGTTTTAAATACCGATCAATCCGGCCTTCAGTGGAAATGTTTTCGAATCGTACATTAAGTCATGAAGGTGAAAAACTAACTCTAGCCACAGTACGTTCCATTAATAATACTACTCACTCATATACAGTACAACCGATTATAACTATGAGTGGAAAATTAATTGGACCTTTATTTTAATGTTTGAAAGAAAATTCTGGACGTTTAAGTGAACACATTAAGAAAACCTTATTCCAACCGAATAACATTGTTTTAACTTGCAGTAAATCAGGGAAACTCACCGGCTCTCTTGTGAAATTCTGGCGAGATAGTGTACTCAGACCACTTATTGGTCAGAATAAATGTTTATTATTATCTGATTGTTGGGGTGCTCAAGGGGCTATTGAAATTTATAATACATTAACTAATGTAAAACGATTAGAGATTCCAAAAAGAACAACACCTATGATACAACCCTTAGACGTATACTTCAATAGGCAATACAAAGTTATTGCACGTAAGTTATATGATTATGTTCGATTGTACAATATAGACATTAATCTTGCTGGACATAATAACATTATAAAAATGAACTCATTGATACATAATCAGTTATCATCAAAAGCATTCTATCGCATGATACAATATGCATGGTTTCAGTCTGGTTATTTACGAAATGATCCAGAAGCTTTTAAAAATGTTAAAGAAATATGTTTCTCATTTCAAGACAACTCATGCAGAATCAACAATTGTGATGAATTTACATTTATTTGTTATGGCTAGTGTGAAAAGTCATTGTGTATTAGCCATTTTTTTGTTGACTATCACATTCATTACTAGTGAAAACAAAAATACGTTATTGCACTTTCGTTTCTTAATTTACTGTCGGTGACGCTGTTGTCTTTCAAGTTTCTCGAAAAGGTTCCATGAAGAAATTAGAGAACATTAAAATTATTGAAGTATTCTATGTATGAATAGATATGAAACAATATTAGAAAAGATAAATTCTAATTTATATTACATAATTCTCAAGACTGAGTTTTCCAATATAGTACTCATATTAGAGCATATAGGGTTGGAATAAAATATTCATAAAGACTGAAGGAAGCAACAAAAACCCGAACCCTTTTAGGACATTTACTAGGGCACTATGTAGTATATGTAGGCAAAGTTTCATTGAAATCGGCGGGGGGCATGTAGGAAGGTTCCCTCGTTAGCAACTATTCAAATGGTGCGAAGATCACAAATAAGTTACATGATCTACGAATCTACAATAAATTTTGAAAAAGAGCTTAAGGTCTCGTCCTCCTTAAAAATCAATTTTTAATACAATGTATGTGGTTTTTATATAACTTTCTGAAGATGTTCGGCTAATGGAAGCGTATCATCAAAAACTCTTCATGGCTTCAAAATTTGCCGTTCCGGAGATTTCCAGAAGCGTTAGTGCAAAATAGAATTTTCACGTGTACAAATATCTTTCCAATACACCACAAGCCACAGCACTTAGGCTACTCTAATTTTGAAGAGAACTCCTTAAGACTCCGGACGAAAGAATGGAATTTCTAATTTTAATTTTGTTTCATTTTTCAAGTCGTCAAAATGTGAAAACTCCGAAAATCTTAGGAAAGGTTTTCTGGATAACCCATCATTGCTCTGATATTGTCTAGAGTGAATACTATGGAGAAGAAATTTGTGCGAAATTCGCTAATTTATGCAAAAACCTATGTCAAAATAGGAAAAAGCGTAATGAAGTGCGAAGAAGTACAGGGAAGTATGAAGAAATAAAGACGTATTGAATATGGTTTTCCCTAACCACAATCACCATCAACCTCATAATCACATTTGAGGCGAACAGAATCATTCTTCATTAACTGCTCTAAGAAACTCAAACAATGCTTTTTTATCTATCTTAGCAGTCCCAATGTTTCTTCTCATATTGCTTCATCATCAGTAATAAATAAAACCATACAAAACATTAGTCTTTCTCGTTCTATTCATATATGGAAAGAAAAGCTTTTCGTTCTAGAAAGTGTAAGCGTGTTCACAATCAAATGTCCTACACTTTCCAGGGAAAATAAACAATATCTAATGATCCTCGTCGTGAAGGTAAAATGTTATCATAATAGTTGCTCAACACACCCACACCGATAATCTCTTATTACGTACCCTACTTTTTTAGGGGAAGAAATTGTATCCTATTGCTTCACTGGTAAGCTGCCAATGTTAGTTGTCAATAAGGAAGGAAATTTTCGAATAGAAACTGATTGTCTTAAACTTTGCTCATCTTCAGGCTCCATTCTCAATTGAGTATAAACTAGGCACTACAAACCGTATTTTCTCTAATTATTATCATTAATTTTCGTTTCAAATTATCGTAGATGGTTCGAATTGTTTTTACAAAATAAGATATCATTTTCAACATATAAAAGCTTTTTATGAGATTCTTATCTAAAAGTCTTCACATCAGGATCTGGTCAATGCCGGTCTCACTTTAAAAGTGAAAAGTTTCTAGCTCCAATCAAGTTACAGTTACTAGTTTTACATAGGGTAGTCAAAACATTCTTGTAGTAGCAGTCTAAAATTTCATCCTCGTTGTTTTTAATCCTGAAGTTGGTCTGTTTTAGTACAGTCATTCATTGCGTATTAAGTTACCAATACTAATTTTCACAACTGTCTATTGTGGTAAATTCTTAGTGAGTTTTCTCGCTACCTATTTTCAAATGGAGAAACTTTGTATGGGGTTATATATAAGAACTTGTTTGTCATTAGGTCATACTACAACACAAATTCATGATGAATTAACTATTGGTTATGGACAGGGTTATATTTTGTTTGGAACAGTTGTTGACTGGATTGATCGATTTTCAAGTGAACGAGAGTTAATGGGAGATAATCGTCGAAATCATCATCCAATAATCGTCATTCTTCAGCAAAGTTATGATAATGATAACGATTTAGTGAATGACGATTCACATATTAGTGTTCATCATATTGCTATCACCTTAAATATATCACAAGGTAGTGTAGATACGACAGAATACCATCAAAAAGGATATCTTATGAGCTCACTTAAAAATAACGATCTCGACATGTTGATATTTGTAGTGAAAATTTACAGAAGTTTAAAACAATCTAAAGCATAAGTAGTAAAAGCAAAACGTCCTTCAACAGTAGTGAGATGACAATCATTTGAAGAAAAAATAATGTTTGAAAATTTTTTACGACAAATGAACCATTACATATACATGAATTACCTTTTGGAACTTCAATAAATGTCATATATTATCGTGATGAATGTTTAAAAGAATTAGTTAAAAAGTTACATGAACAAAGACTGCCATCAACAAGAAATGACATTACTTTGTATCATGATAAGTCAGAACCACATATGAACGTTATTATTTTTAATCATTTTCAAGAAGAAAAAACCAAACTTATGGATTATCCACCATACTCTCTTGACCTTACTCTTTCAGGCTTTTAGTTATTTAGTGTCTTGAAAAGTTAACTTCATCTAAATTCAGATGCTCCAAATTTGGCTCAAGCAATAACCAAAGAGCTTCATTCAATATCTGTTCACGAATACCAAAATACATTCCAGAAATGGATTGAAAGCATGAAAGTTTCTACTGAACATCATAGGGACTACTTTAAATATTTACTGCAAACAGACTAGCAAAATGTTTTTCGATGATTAAATGCTTGAAAGCGCACGAATTTTTTGACTACTCTGTGTATCATTTTTCTTTGTTTATATTCACTCTTAGGTATTGTTCACTTCGCCTCTACATGCGATTCCTAATCTGTTTTGTTCTGTTATAAGCCATGGAATGTATACTTGAGTGAATCCTTCAGCTCTTGAAGAAAGAAAGCCCTGTTGTATTGTCGTGTTTTGAAATCTAAAACCCACGTTATTTTCAGGAAACTTGCTTCTGGTCTGCAAACTATAGCAGCAACTACAACTCATGTGATGGATGGCCTCAACTAGTCCCGTATGTGTTTATCGACATTGATGACAATGCAAGAAATAAATCTGATCTGTGTTTTGCAAAATAAAGGTTGCGAATTTACGTTGCTTTTTGTAAGTGTCTCGTATCAAATAGCTCTAAGAAGGTACTACTCTATGCGAAATCAACATTCGCTAACAAATAAAGCTGCTTAGAATTAATGCCATGCCTCTTCACTAATGACTTGCCGTACGAAGAAGTTTCTAAACGCAAGTAACATCTAGACTACCTTTGAATGTGAAGCAGCATGTCTCTCTACTCGAAAACGCATTTCTCTTCGGGAGGACTTTCCTACTAATGCGTTGTGACTGTTTCTAGTTGAAAATGAAACGTTTTAAATGAGGATTGATTCTCAAATAATTACACAAACTGCGAAGAAAATTATTTTTTCGAGGGCGAATCTAGACTCGAAATTGAGGTATAAAAATGGAGCTGCTCAGCTATGCTTGTATTGAAATGAGTTATAAGTTTATTCACAAAAATATCTGATGCATAAACTGAAATTAAAAATATTTGTACACTAATATCCTTGAGAAACTGCGATGTTTTCTTTCAGAGAAGGAACAACGAATCCGTAAGACCAGCGCTACCTTGTTAAAGCTATTATTATATTAGTAGCCCTTATCATTTTTCATATATATTCTTTTAAATATGATTCGTTATCACATTATATTATCCTTTCAATCTTACCTTATGACAACCCTTCAGCAAAGTCGAAATGCGTCGTAAGTAACTTGGAATAATATTTTTCTCTCAAAAATCACATATACACCACTCATGTCAACCTACTAGCCAACCACACCCACACCTGAAGAGCATCAGTAGAACCAAGCGTTTTAAGAATAAAAAACTAGTCGCTTATCTAAATTTTATTAGTGATTAATAATGTTGTGCATAATAACTATTCGTAAGGAAAGTTTGATCTAGTAAAATACTTCGAGGGTATAATAAAGTAGTCTACGATTGATTGGGATTTGTGTAGCATTAGACTGTGAAATGCCGAAAAGGCCTTTCAACAGTTTAACAAACACAAATGCCCTTCAATGCTAGATTGAATAATACTATGGGCTACATAAACGGTTTATAAAGATAGTGAGTTCTATAAGAGCATATGAGTCTATAAAATAAGAGTGTAAAATGCTCGAAGTCTCGTGACAAAAGTTTTCGTAAGTTTATAATTGTACGTGTGCTAAAAATAATGCGTTCAAGTTCATTGTGAATTCCAACAGGAGTATTTTTAAATAGTATTCACCATCTTCGATTATGTTCCATGTGAATAACCATGGCAACGTTTGTGTCCAAATATAGTACTCGCTTCGAAGTAAGTCACTGTAATAGCTATATAATTAAAAAAATAACATAGGAATTGAATAGTCTTCACAAATGTCCTGTTCACTGCATATTTAGCACTTCGAATAGATGCTTCAGCGTTTTATATGATACCATATTGCATGGCTAGTGAACCGGCACGACAATCTTTCGGTTCTTGTATACCGTTCATCTTGAGACAAAACCTTCGTCATTATTCTGATAAACGAAAATCATGACACAGTTGAATGATTCTAATGATTGCTTTGTTCAAGTACAACAGTCTCTCCCAAGCAATGCTTATATGCTGCTCACGTTTGAACAACTCTTATCATTGACGAATATGGCTGAAGAAATCTTTGTTCAAGTATTTTCCTTCAAACGCAGCGTATGCGGTTAATATGCTCATCGAAGATTAAATACGCCATAAGCAATTGGTTTTAACCAAGCTTTTGTTCAGCTATGTCACTTACTAACAATAGACTAAACAAGTGGGTGATATGATCCAAGAGCACTATGTATAAGAATCATTACTATTAGAACACTGTTCAAGTATATAACACACATGTAGACGAATCGTGCAGCTCGATCATGTAATTCAATCTCACTAAGTATCTGAACCATTACTAAGAGAACGCTGTTCCAATACATAACACACATGGAGACGAATCATGCAGTTCGGTCATGCCATTCAAGTTCACTAAGCAAATGAACCATTAGTAGCAGAGTAATGTTCAAGTATATAACACACATGTAGATAAATCATGTAGCTCGATAATGCCATTGGACGTTACTAAGCAAATTAATCATTACTACCAGAGTACTATTCAAATATATAATACACATGCAGACAAATCATGCAGCTCGATCATGTCATTCACAGTCACTTTTCCAATGAATCATTTTAACCATTAGCTCTCCATTTGTCTAGTTGCTGTCATTATAAGCAAAGAACAACGATATGACACATGATATAACACCGCGATGTACATGAACAATTAGGACAACATATCTGTTCACGTTCTCACATCTAGTGAAGGAAACCGTAACAAAATCACTCATTTGACGATCACGCTAAAAATGAATCATTTTAAGTAAAGTTCTATTCAATTATTTCAATATGAAATAATTGAGAATATTAGAAGAGATGATTTAACAGCACATGTTAGATGAATCTTTCTGAACAAGGTTCTGTTCAGTTATCTTACTCTGAAGCGACTAGCAACCGTACAACACCTTCTCGCGCAACACATGTCAAATGAATGATTCTCAGGAAAGTTCTATTCAATTATTTCACAATGAAACAAACAGTAACAGGACAGCACATGGTCGCACAGCACATGTTAGATGAATGATTTCGAGGAAGGTTCTGTTCAGTTATTTGATACTGAAGTAAACTATAACAGAACAGCACATACTCGAACAGCACATTTCAGATGAATCAGTCTGACGAATTTTCTGTTCAATTATTTCATTTTGAAATAGATTTTAACAGAACAGGACATGGTCACATGGCACATGTTAGATGAATGATTTCGAGGAAGATTCTGTTCAATTATTTGACACTGAAGCAAACTATAATAGAGCAGCATATAATCAAATAGCACAAGCTAACTGAATCACTTTGACCAAATTTCTGTTCAATTATTTCACTTTGAAGCAAACTATAACAGAACAGCACATAATCAAATAGCACAAGCTAACTGAATCACTTAGACCAAATTTCTGTTCAATTATTTCGCTTTGAAACAAACTATAACAAGACAACATATGGTCACATAATATATGTCAAATGAATTACTCTAAGCAAGTATCTGTTCAATTATTTCACTTTGAAACAAGTGGTAACAGTCCAATACATAATCAAACAGCACACGGCAGATGAATTACTGTAAATAATTTTCTGTTCAATTATTTCACACTAAATCAAACTATCACAGAGCAGCACCTAATCAAACAGGACAAGTCAGCGGAATCACTTTGACCAATTTTCTGTTCAATTATTTCACACTGAAGCAAACAGTAACAGAGCAACATATGATCGAACAGCACATGCCAGTTGAATCATTCTCAGTAGAGTTTTATTCAATTATTCCACACTGAAGCAAGCGGTAACAGTATAACACATAATCGAATAACACAAGTCAGCTGAATCACTTTGAGCAAATTTCTGTTCAGTTATTTCACACTGAAGCAAATGGTAGCAGTATAACTTATAATTGCACAGCACATTTCAGATGAATCATTCCAAGTAAAGTTCTGTTCTGTTATTTATCTCTACAGCAACCAATAATAGTCAAACAGATAACAGCACATCGCATGCCACATAAATCATTCTAATCAGAGTTCTATCCCATTATTTCACTGTGAAGCAACAGTCTACGCTAGAAAACGTCAACGCACAGCACATAGTAAATGAATCTTTCTGAGTAAGCTTCTGTTCAATTATTTCACTCTGAGACACCTAGTAGCAATGTAACACGTTAGCAAAGGACGCATAGCAGATGAAGCATTCTGACGAAGAATCAATTCAATGATTTCACTCGGGAGTGACTCGTAACAGCATAACACATGATTAGATAGCTCATGTCAGGTGAATCATTCTAAGTAACGTTCTATTCATTTATTTTCCTCTGATGCAGCCGATAATAGCCAAAGAACCTAGTCCGCAGGGCACATCGCAATTGAATCATTCTCACCAACTTTCTATTCGATTATTTCACAGCGGAGCAAACTATAATAGTATAACAGATGATCGCACAGTACATGTCATATGAATTTTCTTGAGCAAAATCGTGTTCAATTATTTCATTCTTGGGCAGCATTTA